GCTGAATTGGAGTTGTGTAGGTAGTGTTGTGCCTCTGGTGATTAAGGGAGAGGGGGTTTTTGTTTATGTGTGTTTATGTTCGTGTGCTTTATGCTTCTGCTAGGACTGAACCTCAAAGAGATAAAGAAGTCCTTCTGACAAACAAAGCAGCAGCAGCTGTCTCTTGGATGGTGAAGATAAAGAATGAGCAAATATCAGAGCAAATACAATTCAATTAGGTTCCAGGCATTTACCCATTCTCCCCCTTCCTTCCCTTCCAAAGAGGGATGATGTCTCTGCTGAGCATTGAAAAGGTGGTAGCATTTGGCTTGTTCTCTTGCTCTCTTACCTGTGCATGGAGGAAAGCTGCTGTGGGCCACATGGTTGTTCTCCTACCCTCCAGGGTAAAACAATTATTTGTTAGATCTCTCCATGACAAATTTCTGCTGCTTGTTTTCACAAGACTCAGTAAAGGCAATGTCATCAGTCAATTCTGGCCTCTCTGAGTTCTCATCTTCTCCACAGGCAGATCTTTTTCTTGTTTCTTTTCCACTAGCTGCTGAGCACACTGGAGGTGACCCAAGCTGAAGAAGCTTTTTGTCACTATTACCTTTACAGAAAATCAGCTGCCAGACACAAGGAAGCAGTATGGAGAGATACGATTTTTCATGCATAAAAAAACCTGATAGTAAAGAAAGGCTTTAGGCTTTATCCATGAGGAGTGACTAACTGGGAGAAGGGCATGGCAGAGTAATCCTGTAATCCTCTCCAGATTTCTACTGGGAGACGCTGTCCTAAAGATCAGCACAGTCATAGGAATAATGCAGAGTAATCAGCCTCATCTTCCCCCAGCCCCCATCCTTGCTCCTGGCTATTACCAAATTAACAAAATCTTCCCAAGCTTTTGCATGAGACTTTCTGTGTCATTACTTAAAAAAAAAGAAAAAAAAAAAAAGAAGGGGGTGTGGGGGGGAAATAGGGCAATCTCTGCCTCCCTTCTTATCATTCCCTATCTTCGCCCCCTTTGTTATTGCCAATGAGTCATACTTCACCTTTTCCTTAGTCTGCATCTCCCACACTCACTCCTCTACTGGCTTTCCTGCCACCCCTCACTCCTGGAGTGAATTCTCTACTACTTTGCATGAGAACTTTCTGTTTCCAAATCCATATTTTAAATTCAGGGTTGCATCCTCTTGTCCCAAAAATAAATATGGCCCTTATCTCCTCCCTACATGAGCACCTCTGATAAAAACCACAATCTTACCCTTTTTTTAACAGTTCACTACTATGCATACTGACAAGGCACTGGGAAAGGTATGTGTTGGCTGATTAACTGATTCACTACAAACACCACATTTTGTGGAAAAGAAAAAGTATTTGTGGTAGATGTGCACAAAATATAAATGCTGAGATCCTGGGGGCAAATACCCACTTTGGATTTGCAGTTTGTCTCATAATTTAGATGTGGGGTTTTGTCTTCATAGTGAGCTTCAAAGGAGGGAAAAATCATGGGACAAACTGTTGCTTTAATCACAGTTAGACTTGCCACTAAAACTTAAATTGCAGGAAAATTTGCTGCAATATGAGAGCAACACTGTAACATGGGAAAATAATACAAATGCACTTTTCTGGGAATAAAATCAAGGGAAAAAAAATGCTGGTGAGAAAGTTAAGGCCATGAATCAACAGCCTCTGAAAGCAACGGAACTGCAGTTAGTGATGCTAACAGAGTGTGCAAAATCCGCAAGAACAGGACTGGTTTCAGAGAACATGAGAATAGTTCTCCAAATGCATTGTTGACTCTGTTGTGGGATTCAGCTGATTTCATGATAGTCATTAAGTAGGAAAATCAATTGTCACTCATTATTAAATACCTATAACATTACTTATTAAATCTCCGTGCGCCAGATCAAATGATGTGGAGTATATTTTGAGGTTTTGTCATCATTCATCCATACTGTTTCAAAAGGGAACATGTGTTTGTGAAGTTCTCTTCATAGCATTAGTTTGGGATATTCCTCACCTTTTATTCTGAAATTGAACATCCAAAGATTAACTGTGAAATTCTGTTTTCTAAGTGTGTGAGTGTATACATTTCACTTGAAATGCGTGTTACAGAAAAACTGTGACTACCTTTTGGATACTGTTGGAACAAGTGTAGTATGGTGGGTGTCTGCTCTCATGTACTGTCTTAATAGAGCAAAAGTACTTGAGGTTTGGTGTATAAGGTTCTGGTGCTCTGTGTTTCTCTATAATGGCAATAATCCTGAATACATTGCTAGTGTGAATGGGAATGTTAGTGAGATAAGCTTCAAGTTACATAGTCCTTCCTTTACTTCCATATATCGAGCTTGACCATTCTACCATCATATGACCTGGGATGTTGTGCTGCAAACACTGGACAGCTGGAGTGGGATCCTCAGCTTCTAATCTTGCCTGGAAAATACATTCTTGTCTAGAAGTAGCATTTCATGCAAATAGGAGTTTACTTCTACAGAGTTAATTTTCAAGGAGCTGATCTGATGTTTATTTGGCCACAAAATTTTTCTGGTCAGTTAAGTTTCCTATCCTAGCCATTTGTGCTGCCACCACAAAGGGATGGAAATATGTGGCCAGGGATGCAGGGAGTTGAGACTCCCGTGTCTGACAGCAGTCATCTCTTTCCTTGGCTTAAAAGGACTGGGAAAATGCGCTTTTAGTGACTGATGTCTTAAGCACCAACCAAGCTAATTTTATTTGGGCAATTAACATATCCCAGAGGACTTAATATGAGCCTGGTGCCAGCTAGTCTGAGACTTACTTGGGTTCAGTTATGTCTCACTGAAGATATGAGAAATTCCAGTGATCAGTTAAGAGACTGCTGAACTGATCAGATCTGAGACGCTAACTCAGTTGGCCCTTGCTTGCTCCAAGATACGGAGGCCTAATTTTTTACAATTAACAGTCGCTGAATGTTTTGTTAACATAGGCAAAACTATTTGCTTTGTTTTTGCAGTTCCCCTCCATCTGATTTTCAGAAATGTCCTGAGCATATTAGGTCTGCTTTTTCCAAACAAAACAATAGCATGAGGAGTTTCGGTCCAATCAGTTAAAACTCAGGAGAGTTTTTGACTGATTGCAAGGTCCTAACATGGGAAGTAGCAGGCAACCTTTGTTTTTCTGCTTCTGGGCTGTCATGCTTATAGCACATCATTCTCTGTTTTGTTGAGTTAAGGATTATCTTTTGGTACAAATCCAGAAGGCACCTCAGTTTTTGGTTTGTTGGTTTTTTTTACACATAAAAATACAAGAGGGATAGAGCTTTTGGAGACACAGGTTTGTGTTAGGACAGTCACCCTTTTTCTAGGCTGGGAATACCACTTACTCCAGAGATGAGGATATGTATTCTTCCAGCCTACGCATCACAATAGTATTTGGTTTCCTCCTGTTTGTCATTGCTCAGAGTAGAAGCAGAGTTTCATGGCTTTAAAGGATTTCTTAACCTTGGTGGGCAGAGGAGGAATTGTACTTCGGTGTTTTTTGTGTGCAGAAGATTCATGGTGTGAGACCATTGTTAGCTAGAGGTGCGGGAAAAATCTGGGACCCTTAATTTCTGTTTGATCCTACCACTCCATAAAACCAGCTCCATAAAACCAGCACTCTCAGCTGGTGCTTGCACAGCCACTGGTGGAGTTGTGTGCTGTGGCGAATCCAGCCCTCTCAAGGGTGTAAGCCAAAGTTAGACAGTTCGTAAAGAACAAGGAAATTGTGATTAATGATCTCCTATGTGCCTAAGCTGCCCTGCGAAGAAGTATATAGATTTGTTCCAGAGAAATGTAGAAGCTTATTTTGTTTAAAATGTGTTTTATAACGATATAATTACTATTGTTGAATGCTTTCAGGATGCGTATAATACGTTATTATGATGTGCTCCAAAAGCATTCAGAGTCAGCTTGCTGTGAACAGTGGTACTGCTCTGGATGAGGTAGCTTTGTACCTTGGAAATAAGGTGAATTCTGCTGCCTAGTGCAGCCATGAGTTTTATTTAGAAATAAAGATGTGTGTGCTACCCTCAAAGGTAATTTTTGTCTCACTTTGAAAAGTTTCCATGCCTAACTGTCTCTTTCTGGGGCAATTAAACCAATCTTGTAGAGAGCAGCCTCCTTCCTCCAGCACTGCGTGACTCATGCTATCGTGGCTGTTCATCTCAGGTGCAGAATCTTGTGAAATGCATTTTTTACTATCTAAATGTATGACATCCACTGAGTTTGCCTTATCTTCTGTGTCAGTAATATCTTCTCAAAGTGCCAGCAAGTTCATTAAGCAATGCTTCCCAGCCCTACAGTCCCTATTTCCATAGATTACTTTAATCAAATTGTTTGTTTGGCAGATTCTTTAATTACCTCTTTAAAGTAGTTCCTCTGGGCTTCGTCATACCCAATATTGAAAGTACTAATCTGTAGTTTCGTGTTGGATTTTTGTTTGTTTGGAACTTTTTTAATAGAACAATCGACATCTCACTCTTCTTTGTATCCTTAGGACTCTTTTTAAAAAAGCTATAGAAAATGTAGTGTTTGCCCTGCCCATTTCACTGTTGGTGATTATTACTTGTGAAATATATTGCTTTGTTCACTTCTAAGAAGAATTTTTATATTTATACGGACACACGGATATATCATTGCTCTGTCTGCATTGCAGAATTCCCCTCAAGTTATGCAAAAACACAACCTTCTTTCTTTATAGGTGCACAGACCATATAGTGCATAGCTGTTAGTTGATCTAATCCCCAGTGCAAACCCTTTATGTTTTTTTTAGTCATGCTTCTCTATTTCACGGCCCTGTTTTCTCCTGCAAACATACATGAGAAAACGTTAAACAATAATGGTTTTGTTTCTTGATACAGGTATTCATTATCTGGTAGGAATTCTCCACATGTTGTAGGGAATAAGCCCTGTTTTGAAGCTCAGAATGTAATTTTCAGAAATTTTCTAACTAGTTTGTTATGAACAGGAACTTATGAGTAACAGAGGAATGTTTTGCAGGTTGTGCCTCCTTGTCCAGGACGCCTATGGCATGTTCAGTGAAGTGCAGTTGCAGTCCCTGAGTTCTGCAGATGACATTGAGCAATATTGCAGGAGATGGGAAGGAAAATTCTGCTGCCTAGCTGGAATGAAAATTTTGCAAAGAACCACAAGAGGAAGGTGAGAACAAACCTACATGCTGTGGCTGGTAGAGATGTTCTGACTTTTTATTCATTTCTGTGATCAATATTCTTTGGGACAACTTAAAAGGGCTTTGATCAATTAAATGTCCTCACTGCCATTTTTGGGGCATCCAATACTACTTGAGCCAAACATACTCCAGCTTGACCATAAACAAGCCAACAGAAATACACACTTAGCAGAGCAAGGGATAGAGAGGAATTACCATCTGCAATATTTCATGAAATGTGGGTGTTTTCTTCCTCTTCAGTAGATTCAAAGACTTATTATGAAAGGGAGGTTAGTTCACCTCCCTTTCTTTGCAGAACTGTTTATTACACTATGTTTTTCTACAGTGCTGCCCAGTCTGGTTTGAAGATTCAAGCATAGACTTTCCCATGATATATGAGAGCTTAATTCAGTTAAGTCTATATAGTTTTGGAAGTACAGTTTAAATTTCTTTTAAAAAACCCTGAAAATCTTGCAAATAGTAAAGCCATTCTTCTTTTGGAATAAGAATGTCCACAGGTTTATAGAAAAATCCCCCCAGATAAGTAACAAATTAATGTATAGTAGCTCTCAGATTTTGATTATTCTGTGTTTCCTTTTAAACTCTTTGAATGTAAGAAAGTCTCTTTAATCAAGAAAAAAAACCTTAAATAGATCAATTAGCTTTTGGAGTATCTTTCTAGAGAAACTGATATGGTGTTCACATGGGAACCTGTATAAATAAAAGATTGATTCAATTTTCAACGTAATTTATTTGTACAAGCATCCAATCTAGATAAGCCCTTGGTATTAGAATGGCTATGATATTTCTGCTGACACTTTTTTTTTCCTCCTGAAAAATGCTGTTTCATCAAAACGTGAATGTTTCATGGAAACATTATCTATCTATTTTGGAGACAATTTTGTGGGGAAGATTTTTCAGATCCAGAGGGAGTGAATACTCTCTCTCCTTCTCATTTCATAAAAACTTTCAGAAAGTCTCATTTTTGTTTCATATTGGAACAAAAACAAATTTCAAAGCCTTGAAATGTTTAGCAAAATGGAATTGTTGTTTTCCAGCCAGCACTATTCAGTATGCTTTTCTTTTCATGTACTTGCAGTGTTAATTTTCAGATCCTTTGGATTTCAAGCCTACTTGCATTTTTATGGATCTTTAATAACAAACACGACTTCTTATTTAATTACTTTGTTGGCTTTTTTTTTTTTTTCAAGTTACATTTTTTCCAAACAAATTAAATAATGGCGTTGGAATTCTGGATACAAATGAAGTTTTACAACTGGCTGCTGGTGTTTCCAGTACTCTGCCTAGCTAATAAGAGACAGACTTTTTCTAATGTTTCAAAGCAGCAGTAAGTTACTTCTGGCTATTCTGAGGACGATTAGAAGGCACACTGCTGAAAATGCTGGTGGCTCAGCTGGAGCTGTGCTGGTGGTAACCCTGCTAGGAAACATTAAAAGAAAAAGACTAGTGTAGCTTCAGGGACAGTGTCGTGGTTGAAACGTGATTTCATTGTACAAGATGGGTGGGTGGGGAAATCGTTCAGGGATTTATTTTTTCTAGTTGTTTTAGCCTAAGTTCTGCTTTATAGCTTGTTAGTACTTATGAGTGTTGGGACACGGTTTGTGTCATTCTAGGTGTGATGGAAACCACAGTAAAGCCATAGCTGAAATGAATATAAGGGAGTACTTATTCACACAGAACATAATTAGATTGTAGGACTCATTGCCACTGGATAAATGAGTTTCCAGAGGCAGTGATATATCTGAGCACATCCTGGGATATGCCTCTGAGTGCCTAACCTTGGCTTTGCAGCACATGAGTGAACAAGAACTATGTGGTTTGCCCTGCAACAAGGACTTCTGCTTTCTTTGTTGTTGTCGGGTTTTGTTTGTTTGCTTGTTTCAGAATGTCAGTTACTTTTTGGAAGGAGATGGCTTTTAAACTGTTTGTTTCCTGGAGTCTGACAGTGGCTTTTAAAATGGATGAAAGGGAAGAAAATGTAGGAAATATGAGGGAAAAGTCTTTACTTTTTCTGTGCCTTTGAAGCACACAATTTGGAGAAAGCCAGGAGTGGCTAATAGGATCCCAATACGAGCATGCTGTCCCACAGTCACATGGATTATAATCTCTCTTATAGAGACAGAGTGCTTCCTCAGTACTTCCCTGAGACAGAGGAGATTTTCATTTAACAGATATAATTGGTGCTCAAGCTTTTTGCATCAATGGTCCACTGTTCTTGCTCAAAAAATTTCCAGATCATCATGTATCCTCATCATCAAGTGCTTAATTTAAGGCAGGATTTAACATCATTCCAGTAAATGCAATTTTAAAATCCCTGTTCTAGGCTGAAGTTGCATTTCAAGGACAAAAAACCTAAAATAAAGGGAATTTGCCTTCTGCCAAAAACCTGGCTGTAAACCTGACTTGATCTTTGGAATGGACTTGTACTATAAGATGTACCAAGGGAACTAAACCTCTTTCTTCTCCGGATAGGAAAACACTTGTTTTACAAAAGAAAAGTGGGGTAACAACTTGCACAATGATGTCCTGTCTTGATTAAGATCAACCCTGTGAAAAATTAGAATTATCATATTCTTACACTGAGAGAAACACTGTTAATGATTAATATAATTTTGAATACCCATATGCTTTAACAAGTACTAGGGTCTTTAACTAGGTCATTTGAAGGTCTGTCATTGATTTAGGTGGTTTTCAGAACAAGTTCCATATCCCATGTAAAACATACTCCCCGAAAACCATAACTGCAAGAAATCCTTCCCTTTGTAGCCTGATAGAGGCAGTGGTGTTCCCCTTTGCAGTCCAGTTTCTGGCAATCCTGGAAGACAGATGGGCATGGCTGAGTCACAGCAAAGTTGCCATGGCTTGTTTGGTGTCTTATTTCCAGCAGTTCTTCTAGTCTGGTCATGAGGCTGTTGAATAAGGTAGGAACCAGTATTGTAGCAGCTGAATTAACAGCAGTGTATGTGGTTCAGTATGTGTTTCTTGACACCTTTTCTCTTCACCCTCTCATTCATGCCTGTCTCCTAGCATTTCCTGCAACTGTTCCCTGAACTGCAGGGAATGATACAATGGTTTAAAGAGAGAAGACTGACTAATTTTCATTGATCTGCCCCTGGTGGTGTTGGCTCCTTAGAGGTGTATGTTCTCTCTCCTGTCCTTCAACTACCTCATACGTCAGTCTTATAATTTCAGCCCCTTGAGCAAAAAGAAGGGATATTTTGATGGTATGCTGCTTGAGGCAGAAGTTTTGGTTAAGAATCTGTAGGCAGTACAACTGAGATGTAACCCCCTATTTTAATAGATCCCAGGCAGGTTTCAGGTATGTCTGGTATAACCAGAAACTAGATTGATGCAATTAAATGCAGGGAATGAGCACTTACTAAAACTCCTCAGGAGTAAATAACCTATAAATTGTCATAGTCTGCTGCTTCCTCCTAGGGAATAATTTCAATGAGCTGAGATAAAATTTGTAGTTAGATGCCTGTCTTTATCAACAAAAATTTTGGGTTTAGCCCTGACTGGAGTTCTACACAGAATAGTAATTTGGATTTTGACAATTGGTGTCTTTTCTCCTAATTTGCCAAGTGCTGATCTCTTTGACTGCAGAGCATAGCAAACCTGCTGGCTTCTTCTCTTAATTATTTACTAGTTTCTGTTCAGCAGAACAGAAAAATTACACCAATTTAGAAACAGAGGGGAGAAGAAGAAAATAAGATGCAACATGGGTAGTGCTAAAATCCACACTTATGTTGGAAAGGGTAAAATACTTTGAAGGATCCATCAAATCATAAGCTTTGGCACGTGACCCAACCTTTAATTAATGGCAGATTGTTCCATAATAGTTTGCTTTACTAACTGTTGCATTTCTCTCTAAAATAAGGAATCTCTGAATGTTGAGTTCATCATCAAGTGTTCTGTTTCTCTGAGAAATTTCTGGATTTTCAAAGTTGGCTTCTGTTGTTTGTCATTTTAAACTTTCAAAAGTTAGGCACTGATATGTGAAATGTGACTGTGTTTGTCTGTAATGTTGGTCACTATTGTGCCTGAGGGTCATTTTCTTTCCTTCCTTCCTTCCTTCCTTCCTTGCTTTCCCCTTCCCCTTCCCCTTCCCCTTCCCCTTCCCCTTCCCCTTCCCCTTCCCCTTCCCCTTCCCCTTCCCCTTCCCCTTCCCCTTCCCCTTCCCCTTCCCCTTCCCCTTCCCCTTCCCCTTCCCCTTCCCCTTCCCCTTCCCCTTCCCCTTCCCCTTCCCCTTCCCCTTCCCCTTCCCCTTCCCCTTCCCCTTCCCCTTCCCCTTCCCCTTCCCCTTCCCCTTCCCCTTCCCCTTCCCCTTCCCCTTCCCCTTCCCCTTCCCCTTCCCCTTCCCCTTCCCCTTCCCCTTCCCCTTCCCCTTCCCCTTCCCCTTCCCCTTCCCCTTCCCCTTCCCCTTCCCCTTCCCCTTCCCCTTCCCCTTCCCCTTCCCCTTCCCCTTCCCCTTCCCCTTCCCCTTCCCCTTCCCCTTCCCCTTCCCCTTCCCCTTCCCCTTCCCCTTCCCCTTCCCCTTCCCCTTCCCCTTCCCCTTCCCCTTCCCCTTCCCCTTCCCCTTCCCCTTCCCCTTCCCCTTCCCCTTCCCCTTCCCCTTCCCCTTCCCCTTCCCTTCCCCTTCCCTTCCCTTCCCTTCCCTTCCTTGTTTTTGTTTTCGTTTTTTATTAACTCCTGTGTGTCTTGGGTGTCTCTTTCTCTCCTTTTCCCCCTCCCCTTCACAGTATGTGTTCTCTTGTTGCTTCACACTCAGAGCAGAGGACCACTGCTAACTACTGTACAAGAAAGGGTTTCAACTGCTAGACATTGACAGGAAGTGTAATAGTAAGAATCCTCTGCAGAGCAAGGAAGTCACAACTTCCTTCCTTTGGTTTTCCCTCCTCCAAAACAGACTGCCATCTCAAAGAGCCACCCCTGTCTCTGAGGTTTGAGGTCCTGAAACGCTTTGATA